ATTAGGGAGTATTCCATCCTCTTCTATATTCTGGAATAATTTGAGTAGAATTGGTGACAGTTCTTCTATGAATGTTTGGTAGAACTCATACATGAAGCCATCTGGGCCTAGGCTTTTGTTGGTTGGGAGATTCTTGATGATCTGGTCAATTTCTTCTTTTGTTCTGGGTTTGTTCAAATTTTCTTTTTCAGTCTGAGTAAGTTTAGGTAGGTCATGTTTTTCTAGAAATGTATCTATCTCATCCAAATTTTCGAATTTGTTGGAGTACTGCTCTTCGTAGTATTCTGTTATTATCTTTTTGATTTCGTTTGGTTCTGTTGTGACTTCACCTATGTGGTTTCTAATGTGATTAATTTGTGTCCTCTCCCTCTTTTCTTTAGTTAGTTTTGCCAATGGTTTGTCAATTTTATTAATCCTTTCAAAGAACCAGCTTCTTTTCCTGTTGATTCTTTCTATAGTTTTTCGGTTTTCTATCTCATTTATTTCTGCCTTTATTTTTATTATTTCCCTTCATTGATGACTGTAGGTTCCCTCTGCTGGTCTGCTTCTAGTTGTTGAAAGTGATGTGGTAATGATTTGATTTTGGCTCTTTCCTCTTTTTGGATGTGTGCATTTATTGCAATAAATTGACCTCTCAGGACTGCTTTTGCCGTGTCCCAAAGATTTTGCTATGTTGTGTTTTCGTTCTTGTTTGTTTCTAGGAACTTTGTGAATTCACGTTTAATTTCTTCTTTTACCCAGTCGCTTTTCAAAAGAGTGTTGTTAAGTTTCCATGTATTTGACTTTTTGTTTTGGTCTTCTTATTGTTGATTTCTAGTTTTATAGCGTTGTGGTATGAGAAGATGCTCTGTAGAATTTTGAAGGTTGTGAATTTATGGAGGCTTCCTTTGTGGCCTAACACGTAGTCAATTCTGGAAATTTTTCCATGTGCACTGGAGAAGAATGTGTCTTTTTGGATAGAATGCTCTGTATACATCTATGAGATTGAGTTGGTTGATTGTGTTGTTAAATTCCTCTGTAGCATTGTCAAGTTTCTTTCTGGTTGTTCTATCCCTTTTCGAGAGTGGTGTGTTGAAATCTCCTACTATAATTGTGGATTTATCTATTTCTTTCTTCAATTCCATTAAGGTTTGCTTCATGTGTCTTGGTGTTTTTTCGTTAGCAGTGTATATGTTTATTATAATTATGTCGTCTTGCTCGATTGACCTTTTGAGTATGAGATAGTGTCCTTTTTTGTCTCTTAAGCTAGTTTTTATCTTAAAGTCTACTTTGTCAGAGATTAGTATAGCCACTCATGCTTGTTTATTCCTGCTGTTGGCTTGATATATTTTTTTCCATCCTTTGACTCTTAGTTTGTTTCTGTCTTTCTGTGTAAGGTGTGTCTCTTGTAGGCAGCATATTGATGGATCTTTTATTCTTATCCATTCTGCCACTCTTTGTCTCTTACTGGAACATTCAATCCATTGGCATTCAATGTAATTATTGATAAGTGTGAATTGTTTGATAACATTATGTTACTTTTTTGGGGTGTTGTTTGTTCTTTGGTTCTGCTTTCCTTCTTGAATTGGGTTTGTGTTTTCTGAGTTGATTCTGGTCAGTTTCTTCCTAGTTTCTCTGTTCACTTGTTCTGTTTGGAGGTTTGTTTTTATGATATGTTGTGGAGTGTTAACTTTCTTTGGAGTTATCTTGTAGTCTACTAAATTTTCTCTGCATTTAGGATACTCCATTGCAACCTGTAATTTACCTGGCTTCCCCACTGCCTGGGTTTCTGTTGCTGCATTTGTCCCTTCTTTGACGTTGATATGTTTATGTCCTTCGCTTGATCTCTGGGCTCCCTTGTGTTTGCTGATGTAGTCTTGTTCTGTTCTGGATTCTGCTTTCTTTGACTGTCTTCCAGATGGTGTTGCCATTCCTGTCAATCTCTGTTTGTTGTCTGTTCTTGTTGGTTCTCCATCCCCAGAACTCCCTTTAGGACATTTTGAAGTGCTGGGTTGGTTTTGATAAAATACCTCAGATTCTGTTTATCCTGGAATGTTTTGATCACACCATCATATTTGATTGATAGTTTTGCTGGATAGACGATTCTTGGTTTACAGTTTTTTCTTGCAGGGTTTTGTATATGTCTCCCCATTGCCTTCTTGCCTGCATGGTTTGTTCTAAGTAGTCAGTATTTAATCGAATTTGCTTGTCTTTATAAGTTATACTTCTCTTCTCCCTGGCAGCGTTTTGTTTTTTATTTTGAAGAGTCTAATTATTATATGTCTTGGAGACTTTCTTTTTGGGTCTGTCCTTCCTGGGGTACATAGGACTTCTTGAATGTTTATCTTCTAGTCTTTCAAGATGTCAGGGAATTTTTCTCCCAGAAGCTCTTCAACTATCTCCTCTGTGGATTTCTTTGATTCTTCTTGATCTGGAATGCCAATAATTCTTACATTATTCCTCTTCATGTTATCCAACATGAATCTTAGACTCTCTTGGGATTGTTTTATCCTTTTAGCTGTTTGCTCTTCTGTCTTGGCAGTATTGAGAGATTTTGTCTTCCAGATCGCTAGTTCTGGCTTCCATCTCTTCTAGTCTGCTCCTTTCCCCTTTAAGCCTATTGTCTATTTCTGATATCTTATTATTGATCACCTGGACATCTTTTTGCAGGTTTTGAATTGTTTCCAGTGATGTGTCAATCCTATTAGATTGTTCCTGCAGCACTTTCCTTACTTTTTCCTTATTTTCCTCTACCCATTTTTGGAGTATTTGAATTTGTTTCCATATTAGTCTTCTGAATTCCTCTCAGACATATCTAGAACCTGCTCTTCCTCCTCTATGAAGCCTTTATCTGTCTCCAGCTCATTTGCATCTGCTGCCCTCTCCTGCTTTTAGATGTGTTTCAATAATGTTAATTGCTTCTTATTGGGCATGATTATTCTTATTTTATTATAATTATTAGCAATAAGATCAGGAGATAGGCAGCGGGTGGGTGATTTGGGCCTCCATTGGTCCTGGGCCTCGGAGGCTGGTCAGCAAGCGGTTTGGGTCTCGAGTGGGTGCATTGGGCCTCCAGCGTGTGGTTTGGGCCTTGGCGAGCCTGGGTGTCAGCAGCCAGGTATCGGGCAGATTGGCCTCGGGTAGGTGGGTTGGGCAGGTTTGGCCTCAGCGACTGGGCTGCAGATGGGTTGGGCTTCGGGGAAACTGGGTCTTGGTAGCTGGACTGTGGGCACCTTGGGCCTAGGGTGGCCTGGGCCTCAGCGGCCGGGCTGCAGGCTGCCCGGGCCTCGGTGGCAAGTGGGTGATTTTGTCCTCAGTTAGGTCTGGCGGTGGGCGTGTGGGCCTTGGCCGCGGTGGTGCTGAGTGGACGATTTGGGCCTTGGTTGGGCCTGGGCCTCTGTGGCTGGGCTGTGAGCAGGTTGGGCCTCGGGGCGGGCCTTGGCCTCAATGGACGTGTCTGGGTCTTCGGAGGGCCTCGACCTTGGTGGGCAGGCCTGTGCCTGGGGCTGGCCTGGGTCTCCGTGGGTGGGCCTGAGCCTTGGGCAGACCTGACACTCAGTGGCTGGGCAGAGGGCTGGCCTAGGCTGAGGCAGTGGAGGGCGGGGGTTAGTTGCTGCAGGCAGATGACATCTGTGTCTGATGACATCCAAAATGCCTCTCTCTGTCTCTCTGTACCTTGGGTACCCTGAATTGCCTGGTATCTGTTCTGATATCCCTCACTGTGGAAAGGAGACCCATTTGGGAGGGGCTATGTTGGCTCCTGCATCTTTGTTCGGCTTTGTTCGCTTATGCTTCCTCTCCTCTGGAAGCACTGCTTTCTGCATGGGCTTGCTCAGCCCCCGCCCTCTAAGCTCTGCAGGGGGTGGAGGCAGTCACCAGAGTGGGAGGCGGGTGCAGGCTGGCAAAAGCTCAAAATTCCTGTAATTCCTCAGCAATTTGATCTTTTAAAAAAGTGAGTACAGAATCCTGACAAATTGACTTAATTTCATATTAAAAAGAATAATAAATAATGCATACTCTGTATGACACTTATGTCTGAGAGTGAAATAAAGTAGAA